CACAACCTGTTCCCCAAGTGCATTCCATTTTCCCACTACTCTCACGCTAAAAGAAAACTTCCTAACATCTCTGTGACTCATCTGAGTTTCCAGTTTCCACCCATGTCCCCTCGTTCTGTTATTATTACGTGTGAACATTTCATCTATTTCCACTTTGTCAATTCCCCTGAGTATTTTATATGTTCCTATCATATCTCCTCTCTCCCTTCTTTTCTCTAGTGTCGTAAGGTTCAGTTCCCTCAGACGCTCTTCATATCCCATCCCTCGTAACTCTGGGACAAGCCTCGTCGCAAACCTCTGAACCTTCTCCAGTTTCCTTATGTGTTTCTTCAGGTGGGGGCTCCATGATGGCGCGGCATACTCTAAGACTGGTCTCACGTAGGCAGTGTAAAGCGCCCTAAAAGCCTCCTCACTTAGGTTTCTGAATGAAGTTCTAATTTTCGCCAGTGTAGAGTACGCTGCTGTCGTTATCCTATTTATATGTGCCTCAGGAGTTAGATTAGGTGTCACATCCACTCCCAGGTCTCTTTCTCGAATCGTTACAGGTAGGCAGTTCCCCTTCATTGTGTACTGTCCCTTTGTCTCCTATCGCCTATCCCATTTCCATAACTTTACATTTACTGGTGTTTTCCAGTAGCCATTTCCCTGACCATCTCTGCAACCTGTTTAAGTCCTCTTGGACGATCCAACAATTCTCATCTGTCACAACTTTTCTTATTAATTTTGCGTCATCCGCAAACATTGACATGTATGTTTCCACTCCTGTAAACATAAAATTTACGTAAATTAGAAAGAGGATTGGGCCCAGCACCGATCCTTGAAGTACTCCACTCGTTACTGTTCGCCAGTCGACTTCTCGCCCCTTACCTCTACCCTCTGGCTCCTTCCTGTTAGGTAGTTCCTCACCCATGCTAGGGCCTATCCGCTTACTCCTGCCTGCCTCTCAAGTTTGTGTAGCTGTCTCATGTGCGGTACTGTATCAAAGGCCTTTTGGCAGCCAAGAAATATGCAGTCTGCCCAGCCTTCTCTGTCCTGCCTTATCCTTGCTACTTTGTCATAGAATTCTAAAAGGTTTGTTAGGCATGATTTCCCTGTCCAGAACCCATGTTGGTGCTTGTTTACAAACCCAATGCTCTCCAGGTGCTCAACAAGTCTTAGCCTAATTATTCTTTCAAGTATTTTGCAGGGGATGCTTGTCAGTGATACGGGTTTGTAGTTAAGTGCCTCCTCCCTATCACCTTTCTTGAAAATCGGTACGACATTTGCTTCCTTCCAGCAACTGGGCAATTCTCTCGACATAAGTGACTCATTAAAGATCATTGCCAGAGGCACGCTGAGAGCCTGCGCTGCCTCTTTGAGTATCCACGGTGATACTTTGTCAGGTCCAACCGCTTTAGTTGCATCCAGTGTTGTCAACTGTTTCATTACCTCCTCTGCTGTCACCTCTATATCTGGTAGTCTTTCATCTAGGGTAATCTTATCTAACAATGGGAGCCACTCAGGCTCGGTTGTGAACACTCCATGGAAACTTGCATTCAGTACCTCGCAGATTTCCTTGTCGCTTTCTGTATATGCCCCTTCTGTTTTCCTCAGTCTTGTCACTTGGTCATTTACGAGGTTGAGAGGTTTAGGGGAGAGGGATATTGAAGGCAGAGGGCTGAGAGGAGAATGGCGCATGGGTGCTGGGAGTGGAAGAGAGGGTGTATTAGTTAGAGGGGAATCGGGGGTAGGTGGGGGTTTTGGGGTAGAAGAAGGGAAGAGGGAGATGGGGGAAGGTGTTAGGGGGGTTACAAGGTGAGGGGGTTAAATGTTGGCTGGAGGTGCATAGGAGGGGTGAGGGTTGGGTGGGGTTTGAGGGTGAGTGGAAGAGGGGTGCAGTGGAAGCTAGGATGGAGCAGATGGAATTGAAGGCAATGGGGTAGACGGGGCAGGGGAGTAGGAGGGGGGTAGTAGGGGAGAGGGGATAGGAAGGTGGGTTTGGGGAGAGCATGGCTTGATCACTGGGGTCGTTGACAGGTGTGATGTAGCAGGGGCAGGGGAGTTGTTGGTTAAGTGCAAATGTGGAAGGGGCAGGGGTGTTTTGGGGGGATGAGGCAGGGGGTTTTGGGGGGGCTGAGGCAGGGGGGAGGTATAGGAGGGCTGAGTTGGGGAGGATGTTACCTGGGAGGTGACCTGGGAGGTGAGGCTACCTGAGAGGGTACGGTGTCGTGCTTGCCATCTATTCTTGTGGGGCTATTTGCTCACTTTCTGTATATGCCCCTTTTGTTTTCCTCAGTCTTGTCATTTGGTCATTTACCGACATCTTCCTTCTTATATGGCTATGTAGTAATTTAGGTTAATCTTTCGTCATAAACTTTTCAATAAACACATTGTAATGGGTTTCACTTCCTCTGAATAAAAGCTTGTTCCTCATTATGTACTCCACAGCCTCCTCATTAGAGAATTGCACCAGAACAGGTCTATTCTTGGTACAATTGTAAGGTCCAACCCGGCGGCTAATGTCCACCTCGTTTCTTGCCATTCCTGCTCCAATATGTCTCAATATCTCACGCAATTCATATTTTTCCGTCTCTATCCTTTCTTGTCTTGTTGGTGCCCCAGATTCGAATAATCCGTGTATTATAATGGTCCTTCTCTTTAGTAATTCACTCTCATGCTGGTAGCCCGTCCCCTGAGGATTCCCCATCCCAACCGCACTCACTAACCCATCCCCCACTAATCCTGTCCTTAGTAATGCTGTTAATCCTTCCTAATTCGTTTGTGATCCGAGCACATTCCCTCTCCCAGTCCTCTCTTCCCTTCCTAATCTCTTCCTGAATATAGAGCATAAGCTCCTGTTTCTGCCTCTCTACTGCATCCTGTATTTGCTGAGATAACTCGCTTTTTATCCCTTTGATTAGATCCTCCATCCAATCGGTCCTTCTCTCTACAAATTTATCTATTAATTTGTCTATAAATCTGTCCTCCTCCTCGTCCCTGCTGGTGATTGACCTTGAGCCCCTTCCTGATCTTGTCATTGCAGTAACAACCTAGCCAAAAAAGGCGCTCCTCAATACCTTGCACAATCTGCAGCACAAACAGGCGAGAAAGAACTCCACGCGGCTGGTCAGGTGTGAGGTCGCGGGGTCCCGGCGTCACAGCTGGTGAGGTCACGTCCACGACTGTCGGCTCCACAATTCCACAATGCCACCTTGTACTCAACACTTATTTTCAATGGTGCTGTTTCTACTGTTTTTCTTCACTTCTTTGTGGTTTGAGTGAGCTTACCTTATGTGTTTGTGTGTCTGTGTGTGTGGGTGTGTATGTGTGTGTGTGTGGGTGTATATTTGTGTGTGTGTGTGTGTGTGTGTGTGTGTGTGTGTGTGTGTGTGTGTGTGTGTGTGTGTGTGTGTGTGTGTGTGTGAGTGTGTGTGTGTGTGTGTGTGTGTGTGTGTGTGTGTGTGTGTGTGTGTGTGTGTGTGTGTGTGTGTGTGTGTGTGTGTGTGTGTGTGTGTGTGTGTGTGTGTCACTACTATAAAAGCCGCTACTATAAAAAGCGAGGTATCACTTCAAACATATATCCATGTGAGACTCAACAACAAAATGTGTCCTAAAAAGGTCGTCATATTTTACAAGGGCATTCCGAGCATGTAGTATGCTGTGTTATAATGGTACACTTGGCCAGTCATGACTTGTTTTATACGGGGAACGTAAAACTTCCAGTACCCACCTGTGTATAATAAACAGTTATAATTCACTGGTGGTACAGGAAGAGACGAATGCAAGGTAATGAACTAAAAGCCCTTAGCCGGACTCCTGTTAGCAGGCTAAGGGCTTTCCCTTCTCATAACTCATGGTAAGCCTTACCCACTTCTTCCCCTGAAATACGACCCGGCAATCGTTTAGCAACTAGGAATCTAATCATTGCTGGGTTAAAAGAGGCGTACAGATAGTGATTGGGCCTAGTCAATCCTCCCAGGCCAATATACGAACCTAGACTTTGCTTTTTTTTCTCTCTCTCTCTCTCTCTCTCTCTCTCTCTCTCTCTCTCTCTCTCTCTCTCTCTCTCTCTCTCTCTCTCTCTCTCTCTCTCTCTCTCTCTCTCTCTCTCTCTTTGTAACTAAGACTAGGAGCTACTAGGGTTTTCCCTAGTGAAACTGCAAGCAAGAGCTGTTATTCTACCTCAGCTCATATGAAGTCTACTCCTAGAAACTTATTTATTTCATGATAATGTACTTTGAATCTATTACATAGGGAACTATCATATAGGGAACCTGGTGAAACTGCTAGCAAGAGGTGTAATCCTACCTCAGCCAAGTTGAAACTTACTCCTAAAGGCTCATTTATTTCATGAGCCTGTTATATGCAACAGTTGGAATAGTCTTTATTAATTAACATTATTATCTGTCCCTGTGGTGTTGTGGTAAGACACTCGCCTGGCGTTTCGCGAGCGTTTTGTCCTTTGTTCGGATCCTGTCCTGGGAGGATTTACTAGGCATCAATCCTTAACTGTAGCCTCTGTTTATCCAACAGTAAAAATGGGTACCTAATTTTTTTGAAGGTTTTGGCGGGGTCGTATTCCGGGGAACATAAGATCAAGGACTTGTTCGAAACGTTTTAGTCACGTCTAGTGACTAGTGGCTGTAAAAGAGTGTAAAATATCTTGTATATGTAAATAAATAAATAATTGAATAAATAAATTATGTGACAATCATTCAGGCTGAGCCTGTAGATATCTGTATACCAGAGCCTTCATGTGATCAGTTGACCTGATCTCCCGTGTATCGAGTATTCGAGTGAACAAGTTCGAAATCTGTGTCAGCCTAGGTGTGAATTATCACTGATGGAGTCATGTTCTTGTGAAAAGCACTTCCAGCATGAGACTGTCGAAGGTTGAGAGCCTAGTATTATTATTAAAGGGTTGTGGTTGTCGGTTGTAACTTGCTTGTAGTGGGAAGGAATGCAGTACAAAACAGCTTCGGCATTTTCTTCGTGTTATTATGAAATGTAAATATTCTCTAATGGGTGAAGTACTAGCTATCAAGTAGATGTGTATGGCTCTGCTGGTGAGGATGGTCTAGCCCTTGGGGGTCTTTGTCGCACTTGGACATGATACTTCATCTGCAAGCACGCTGATGCTGTAGCGTGCTGCAGCATCTGCAGCATCATCAATTGATGCAGCAGCATCAATTGTTGGGACAACTGTTGCCGAGTGGAGTACTGGCAATACGCAGTCGATGAATGAGGGTCACCACATGTGTGACCACGTGCATCCAACACTGCTCGGCAAGCAATCATCGGCGTCCTCGACGATCTGCTTGATGAATTTCTGAGTTGTGTACCTAACATTCAAGTAAAGTAGTGGCCTTAAACAGGCTTTGAGACGTACAACACTGTCTCGGACATGCATGAATATAGCATACATTATATAAATGCAATTATAAAAATAAACTGTCCATAGAGCATCATGACTAACTGAGACAGTGGACTACAAGTTGTGCACAAGGATCAAAATGTTCAGCCACCACGTTACCTGTTAAGCAAATTGAAAACGGTAGACTCTAACATAGGCACGATATAGTATATAGCAGAAGTAACGTTCTACTAAAATATGAAGTGAAGGGACGTTGCAGAAACACCATGACTTAAACAGTGTAAGAGACATGATAAGATTAAAACTATGAACTAAGGTTAACTATGTAGGTATCATATTGTATACATTTTAGGTGAAGGAAAGAGAACAGATGAATAAAATACACTGAGAAAAGCGTTAATCGGTTGAATTTTGCCAGGAAATCCCAACAGATGTGCTGTGGGAAACTTTAATAGAGGTGATTAACACATATAATTGTTGGGTTCTCATGCAGGACGAGTTATCTCGTAAAGTATTAACTAAAATTAGTTGAAAATGGTAGAGGATAGGAGGCATAAGTTTGTTAATTAGACGATATTATTGAGGATGCTCCAGAGCACCACAGGATGCACCACAGGATGCACCACATGATACACTACAGGATGCACCACAGGATGCACAAAAGGATGCACCACAGGATGCACCTCAGGATGCACCACAGGATGCACCACAGGATGCTCCAGAGGATGCACCAGAAGATGCACCACAGGATGCACCACAGGATGCACCACATGATACACTACAGGATGCACCACAGGATGCACAAAAGGATGCACCACAGGATGCACCTCAGGATGCACCACAGGATGCACCACAGGATGCTCCAGAGGATGCACCAGAAGATGCACCACAGGATGCACCACAGGATGCACCACAGGATGCACCACAGGATGCTCCAGAGGATGCACCACAGGATGCACCACAGGTTGCACTAGAGGATGCACCACAGGATGCACCAGAGGATGCACCACAGGATGCACCACAGGAACCACCACAGGATGCACCACAGGATGCACAAAAGGATGCACCACAGGATGCACCAAAATATGTAGCACTGGATGTACCACAGGATGCACCACAGGATGCACTACAGGATGCACCACAGGTTGTACCAGAGGATTCACCACAGGATGCACCACAAGATGCACCACAGGATGCACCACAGGATGCACCACAGGATGCACCACAGGATGCACCACAGGACGCACCACAGGATGCACCACAGGATGCACCACAGGACGCACCACAGGATGCACCACAAGATGCACCACAGGATGCACCACAGGATGCACCACAGGATGCACCACAGGATGCTCCAAAGGAAGTACCACAGGATGCACCACAGGATGCACCACAGGATGCACCACAGGATGCTCCAAAGGAAGTACCACAGGATGCACCACAGGAACCACCACAGGATGCACCACAGGATGCACCACAGGATGCACCACAGGAACCACCACAGGATGCACCACAGGAACCACCACAGGATGCACCACAGGATGCACAAAAGGATGTAGCACTGGATGTACCACAGGATGTACCAAAATATGTAGCACTGGATGTACCACAGGATGCACCACAGGATGCACTACAGGATGCACCACAGGTTGTACCAGAGGATTCACCACAGGATGCACCACAAGATGCACCACAGGATGCACCACAGGATGCACCACAGGATGCACCACAGGATGCACCACAGGACGCACCACAGGACGCACCACAAGATGCACCACAGGATGCACCACAGGATGCACCACAGGATGCACCACAGGATGCACCACAGGATGCACCACAGGATGCACTACAGGATGCACCACAGGTTGTACCAGAGGATTCACCACAGGATGCACCACAAGATGCACCACAGGATGCACCACAGGATGCACCACAGGATGCACCACAGGATGCACCACAGGATGCACCACAAGATGCACCACAGGATGCACCACAGGATGCACCACAGGATGCACCACAAGATGCACCACAGGATGCACCACAGGATGCACCACAGGATGCACCACAGGATGCACCACAAGATGCACCACAGGATGCACCACAGGATGCACCACAGGATGCACCACAGGATGCACCAAAGAATGCACCAGAGGACGCGGGATACGCCCAGCCTATTAGACCTCGTTTTCACCCAGAATGTAGAAGACATCGAGCAGTTGCAACATGAATACCACTAGGAGCCAGTGACCATTGTGTCCTAGTCTTTGATTACATGATGGAGCTTAAAATTGTGACCAAAGGACAAGAGGTCCGAGAAAGGAGACTTGAGTACAGGAAAGGGGACTACAGGAGGATAAGAGACTACCTGGGAGAAGTGCAGTGGGAGGAAGAAATTAGAGGAAAAACAGTCCAAGATATGATGAACCAAGTCATGCGGAAATGCAAAGAGGCTGAAGAGAGATTTATTCCAACAGTAAAGGAAAAAAACAGGGGGGGAATATAATAACCCATGGTTTAATAGACAGTGTCAGGAAGCAAAAGTGAGAAGCAGGAGGGAGTAGAGGAAGTACAGAAGACAAAGTACAGAGGACAACAAGATTAGATGTAACAGAACTAGGAACGATTACATTAACATAAGACGAGTGTCGGAAAGAAATTATGAGAATGATATTGCAATCAAAGCGAAAAAGCAACCTAAATTACTACATAGCCATATAAGAAGGAAGATGTCGGTTAATGACCAAGTGACAAGACTGAGGAAAACAGAAGGGGCATATACAGAAAGCGACAAGGAAATCTGCGAGGTACTGAATGTAAGTTTCCATGGAGTGTTCACAACCGAGCCTGAGTGGCTCCCATTGTTAGAAGAGATTACCCTAGATGGAAGACTACCAGATATAGAGGTGACAGCAGAGGAGGTAATGAAACAGTTGACAACACTGGATGCAACTAAAGCGGTTGGACCAGACAAAGTATCACCGTGGATACTCAAAGAGGCAGCGCAGGCTCTCAGTGTGCCTCTGGCAATGATCTTTAATGAGTCACTTATGTCGGGAGAATTGCCCAGTTGCTGGAAGGAGGCAAATGTTGTACCGATTTTCAAGAAAGGTGATAGGGAGGAGGCACTTAACTACAGACATGTATCACTGACAAGCATCCCTCTGCAAAATACTTGAAAGAATAATTAGGCTAAGACTTGTTGAGCACCTGGAGAGCATTGGGTTTGTAAACAAGCACCAACATGGGTTCTGGACAGGGAAATCATGCCTAACAAACCTTTTAGAATTCTATGACAAAGTAACAAGGATAAGGCAGGACAGAGAAGGCTGGGCAGACTGCATATTTCTTGACTGCCAAAAGGCCTTTGATACAGTACCGCACATGAGACTACTTTACAAACTTGAGAGGCAGGAGTAAGCGGTAAGGCCCTAGCATGGGTGAGGAACTACCTAACAGGAAGGAGCCAGAGGGTAATGGTAAGGGGCGAGAAGTCGGACTGGCGAACAGTAACGAGTAGAGAACCTCAAGGATAGGTGCTGGGCCCAATCCTCTTTCTAATTTACGTAAATGATATGTTTACATGAGTGGAGTCATACATGTCAATGTTTGCGGATGACGCAAAATTAATGAGAAGAGTTGTGACAGATGAAGATTGTAGGATCCTCCAAGAGAACTTATACAGGTTGCAGAGATGGTCAGGGAAATGGCTACTGGAGTTCAACACCAGTAAATGTAAAGTTATGGAAATGGGATCAGGTGATAGACGACCAAAAGGACAGTACACAATGAAGGGGAACTGCCTACCTGTAACGATTCGAGAAAGAAACCTGGGAGTGGATGTGACACCTAATCTAACTCCTGAGGCAAATATAAATAGGATAACGACAGCAACGTACTCTACACTGGCGAAAATTAGAACTTCATTCAGAAACCTAAGTGAGGAGGCTTTTAGGGCGCTTTACACTCCCTACGTGAGACCAGACTTAGAGGATGCCGCGCCATCATGGAGCCCCCACCTGAAGAAACACATAAGGAAACTAGAGAAGGTTCAGAGGTTTGCGACAAGGTTTGTCCCAGAGTTACGAGGGATGGGATATGAAGAACGTCTGAGGGAACTGAACCTTACGACACTAGAGAAAAGAAGGGAGAGAGGAGATATGATCGGAACATATAAAATACTCAGGGGAATTGACAAAGTGGAAATAGATGAAATGTTCACACGTAATAATAACAGAACGAGGGGACATGGGTGGAAACTGGAAACTCAGATGAGTCACAGAGATGTTAGAAAGTTTTCTTTTCGCGTGAGAGTAGTGGAAAAATGGAATGCACTTGGGGAACAGGTTGTGGAAGCAAACTCTATTCATAATTTTAAAATTAGGTATGACAGGGAAATGGGACAGGAGTCATTGCTGTAAACAACCGATGGCTGGAAAGGCGGGATCCAAGAGCCAATGCTCGATCCTGCAAGCACAAAGAGGTGAGTACAAGGAGAAAGGGGATAGACAGGAGGCACTGAACTACAGGCCAGTGTCCCTAACCTGCATACCATGCAAGCTGATGAAGAAGATTGTGCGAAGAAAGCTAGTGGAACATCTGGAGCGAAAGAACTTTGTAACACAGCATCAACATGGGTTCAGGGATGGCAGGTCCTGCCTCACAGGATTACTTGAATTCTACGACCAGGCAACAAAAATCAGGCAAGAAAGAGAAGGGTGGGCAGACTGCATATTTTTGGATTGTCAGAAAGCCTTTGATACAGTACCACACAAGAGGCTAGTGAAAAACTTGGAGATGCCGACTGGAGTGAAAGGGAAGGTACTCCATTGGATAAAGGAGTACCTAAGCAACAGGAGACAACGAGTCAGTGTGAGGGGTGAGGTCTCAGATTGGCGAAACGTTACAAGTGGAGTCCCGCAGGGGTCAGTTCTAGGACCTATACTGTTTCTGATATATGTAAATGATCTCTCAGAGGGTATAGACTCGTTTCTCTCAATGTTTGCTGATGATGCAAAAATTATGAGGAGGATTGAAACAGAGGATGATAGTAGGAGGCTACAAGATATCCTAGACAGACTGAGTGAATGGTCCAACAAATGGCTGTTGAAGTTCAACCCGAGTAAATGCAAAGTAATGAAGCTAGACAGTGGAAACAGGAGGCCAGACACAGGTTACAGAATAGAAGATGAAGTACCTAATCAAATGGACAGAGAGAAAGATCTAGGAGTTGATATCACACCAAACCTGTCTCCTGAAGCCCACATAAAGAGAATAACGTCTGCGGCATATGCGAGGCTGGCTAACATCAGAACAGCGTTCAGGAACCTGTGTAAGGAATCATTCAGAATCTTGTACACCACATATGTAAGACCAATCCTGGAGTATGCGGTCCCAGCATGGAGCCCGTACCTTGTCAAGCACAAGACGAAGCTGGAAAAAGTCCAAAGGTATGCCACTAGACTAGTCCCAGAACTAAGAGGCATGAGTTACGAGGAAAGGCTGCGGGAAAGGCACCTTACGACGCTGGAAGACAGAAGAGTAGGGGGAGACATGATCACAACCTACAAAATCCTCAGGGGAATCGACCCGGTAAACAAGGATAAACTATTCAACACTGATGGTATGCGAACAAAGGGACAAAGGTGGAAACTGAGTGCCCAAATGAGCCACAAAGATATTAGAAAGAATTTTTTCAGTGTCAGAGTTGTTAACAGATGGAATGCATTAGGCAGTGATGTGGTGAAGGCTGACTCCATACACAGTTTCAAATGTAGATATGATAGAGCCCAGTAGGCTCAGGAATCTGTACACCAGTTGATTGACAGTTGAGAGGCGGGACCAAAGAGCCAATGCTCAACCCCCGCAAGCACAAATAGGTGAGTACACACACACACACACACACACACACACACACACACACACACACACACACACACACACACACACACACACACACACACACACACACACATACACACACAAACACACACACACACACACACACACACACACACACACACACACACACACACACACACACACACACACACACACACACACACACACACACACACACACACAAACACACACACACACACACATACACACAACACAAGGAGTGTTCACAACCGAGCCTGAGCAGCTCGCTTTGTTAAAAGAGATTAGCTTAGAAGAAAGACAGATATAGAGGTGACAGCAGGATAGGTAATGAAACAGTTGGTAACACTGGATGCAACTAAAGCTTTTGGACCAGACAAAGTATCACCGTGGATACTAAAAGAGGCAGCGCAGGCCCTCAGCTTGCCTCTGGCAGAGATCTTTAATGAATCACTTATGTCGGGAGAATTGCCCAATTACTGGAAGAGAGCAAATGTTGTACCGATTTTCAAGAGAGGTGATAGGGAGGAAGCACTTAACTATAGACCTGTATAACTGACAAGCATCCCCTGTAAAAGATTTAAAAGAATAATTAGGCTTATAATTAATAAATAAACAAACATCAACATGGGTTCTGGAAAGGGAAATCTTGCCTATCAAACCTTTTGGAATACTATGATAAAATAACGAGGATAAGACAGGACAGAGAAAGTTAGGTAGACTGCATATATCTGAACTGCCAGAAAGCCTTTGATATAGTACCGCACATGAGACTGCTATTCAAACTGGAGAAGCAGGTGGGGGTGGGAGGAAAGGTCCCTAGCATGGATAAGGAACGACCTAACAGAAAGGAGCCAGAGAGTTGCGGTAAGGGGCGAGACGTCGGACTGGCGAACAGTAACGAGTGAAGTAACACAAGGATCGGTGCTGGGACCAATTCTTTTCTAATATAGGTTAACGAGATGTTTACAGGAGTAGAGTCCTACATATGTCGATGTTCTCGGATGACGCAAAGTTGATGAGAAGAGTTGTGACAGATGAGGATTGTAGGATCCTCCAATAGGACTTGAGCAGGTTGCAGAGATGGTCAGAGAAATGGCTACTGCAGTTCAACACGAGCAAATGTAAAGTTATGGAAATGGGATCAGGTGATAGGAGACCAAAGGGACAGTACACAATGAAGGGGAACTGCCTACCTGTGATGACACGAGAAAAAGACCTGAGCATGGACGTAACACCTAATCTATCTCCTGAGACACATATAAATAGGATAATGACAGCAACGTACTCTA